ATTAAAAAATTTAAATATTAAAAAAATTAGTAAAAATCTTCGCAGGCAAATTTGACTGTGTTACAATTTAAGGGATACAAATCCTGCTTCTAATGAATCTGCTTTTTTCATCTGGAAAAAAAAATGAGATCCAGTACAAATCTATTTACGTTCTATCAACTAGAAACAGCGAACGAGTAGGTTGTGGGGACTTTTGTGGAGAGGTGGTGCAGTCTTTCTAGCAGGAAATCTTATTTACCTTTGGTGGGTAAACAAGTCCAATGAGTAATGTGTTAACAAATCCATGGAAAAAGGTACTCAGCCACAGGATAAAATATCAGAGAATAAATTCGTTCCTCGGCCTGAAATTATAGAACGCCTCAAAAAATTTTTCGGCCAGGTGAAGATCATTCATATTACAATGTTGTTTGTAGTGAGCATGAGACTGGAAAGACAACGTTGACTATAAAGGTGGCAAGAGAAATTGGGAAAGGCATCATATATGTCGATACTCCTGCTGACATTGAAGAGTTTGGTAATTCATTTGGAAAAGCTCTTAATCTTATATTTGATGAAGATGCAATGTTAATATTATGACTGAAGCGAAAATTTTTTGGCGATACCAAGAGTGAGTCTGTCATTATTGTTAAGTTTATTATCATTACTTTATTGATAACTGACTGCTTTGATTTTAATTTCTAGATGAATTTGATCCAAAATGGAAGAGAGCTCTTAGAGTCTTTAAGCATACCTCTGAAGTATATAAAGCGAAACATGGCAAACCACCGGTTATTATTTACGACAACATCAGCAAAATAGTTAGGGGAGGGCCATTTATTAGCTGATATTTTGCTACTAAGTGGCTATCCCCCTCCCCCCCTACCTGATCATAAATACTGCAATTTGATTAGCTAAAATTTTTTAAAAATTTAAAAAATTTTTAAACTTTAATATTTAATAAAATTTGAACCAATAATTTGTTTTAAATGATTTTACTACCAAAATGATCATCTTAATGAGACGATTCCAACGAGTCAAAATCATCAAAATCCAATCACTGGATCCCAAGATCGTTATAAATTTATATTGCTTTAATTATATTAGTTTTGTATATATTAAAAATTATTATTAAAGATCTTATAAACTTTAACA